TTTTTTTTGCAGTACGCGGGCCTCTCACTGTTGTGGCCTCTTCTGTTGCGGAGCACAGGCTCCGGACGCGCAGGCTCAGCGGCTATGGCTCACGGGCCCAGCCACTCTGCGGCATGTGGGATCTTCCTGGACTGGGGCACGAACCCGTGTCCCCTGCATCAGCAGGCGGACTCTCAACCACTGCGCCACCAGGGAAGCCCCAGCTGGGCCTTCCTTACCTCGAGAGGTCATTGAGAAGACTCAGGACGTCCTGGAGGGCATCATTCCCGGCAGCCTGGTTGCCGCAGCTCTCTGTCGCTCGGGCGAGGTGGTTAGTGAGAAGGCTGGACACCTGACGGGCCAGGCCTGAGTGCACAGCGTCTGTGGAGCCGCCTTCAGAGTGCAAGAAAGGAGAAGCGCGGTGAAAGCTCCAGGAAGGCAAAGCTCCATGCAGACTGCATGGCGAGTCTGCAGGTGTGGCGAGCCTCCCTTAGCCCAATTTTTCTTTAACCTGCTCAGTATTTCATTAGCCATCCAATTAGTGTCTCCTCATTAGATAACAACTGATACATAAACAAGGTGACAGTAACTTGAAAAATGATTCAGTGTTGGGGAAAGACATTCCTCTTAATTAAAACTGAATATAATTCATCCACACAAAACCCAGAAACATACTTTGATTGACAGGCAAGAATCACCATTTTACTGTGATGAAAACATCTTGATTTTTTTTTTTTTAGTGAGGTACAGTTGATGTACAATATAAGTTACAGATGTATAACAGAGTGACTCGTAATTTTTAAAGGTTGTACTCCATTTATAGTTATTATATAATATTGGCTATATTCCCTATGTTGTACAATATACCCTCGTAGCTTATTTTTTACACAATAGTTTGTACTGCTTAGTCCCCTACCCCTATAGTGCCCCTCCCCACTGGTAACCACTAGCTTGCCCTCTATATCTGCAAGTCTGTTTCTGTTTTGGAAAACATCTTGATGTTTAACTCACACCTTACCTCTTCTCAAACACAATAAAAGACATTTTGGGGTCTTTCTATTTTCATTGTAGTTCCAGAGCCTTCCCCAAACATCTCTCATAAAGGCCACAAAAATTATTTGCCATTTACTGTTCATTCTGCCTAGAAGTCTTCTTTATCCTTCAAGAAGAACTCACATGTCACCTTCTTTGGGGAGTTTGCCTGATCCCTAGCACAGCTGGTCTGTAGGGACCTCTATGCTCCCATAGCACTTTGTGTGCACCTTGATCATGGCATTGATCGCCTGGTAATGGACCGTATATATATATATATATATATATATGTACATATATATATACATATTTTTTTTACATGGATCATCACAGCATCTTTATTTTTAATTGGACCATATTTTTTAAGGTAAGGAACGATGCCTTATTCATCTTATGCCTGGCTCTCAGGACAACAAGACACAGAGTGAATGAATAAATAAACAAGCTATATACCTGGGATACTATGGAGAAGTTATCCTTTAGGTTTACTTTTTAAATTGGATTGGTGACTGAAAATATAATCTGGAAATAGCACCTCAGAAGTGCAACTGGAAAATCATTGCATAAAACTATTTATTCGGACACCGTTAGCAGTGTTGACAAAAAGGAAATGAAAGATGTCTTCAGTTTCCTGGGGTTACTGTACTCCTTTCAGATGGTTATCATTCCTCCCCACCCCCACAGCTTTACTGCGGTATGATTAGCAAATAAAAATTGTATATATTCAGATTGTAGAATGTGAATTTTTTAAAAGGTGTACAACGTGATGATTTAATATGCATATACATTGTGAAATGATTACCACAATCAAGTTAGTGAATACATCCATCACCTCCCATAGTTACCTTTCTGTGTGTGTGGGAGGGGATAAGAACACAAGATTAATTCTCTCAGCAACTTTCAAGTATAAATAAAGTATTATTAATTCTAATCACCATGCTGTACATTAGATCTCCAGAACTTATTCATCTTATAACTGCAAGTTTGTCCCTTCGAACAACATCTCCCCATTTCCCCCTGCCCCTTAACCGTGGCAACCACTGTTCTACTGTTTCTATGAGTTTGGCTTTTTTAGATTCCACATATAAGTGAGATGGCTGCAGTATTTGTCTTTCTGTGTCTGGCTTATTTTACTTAGCATAATGTCCTCCAGGTTAGGATACTCTTTACTGTCATAGAGTAGTGATAAATTTTCATAGAACCATGCCAATGAAGAGGCTCCCATGATAACATAATTGATTCAACCAATCTACTTATGTAATTTAATGTAGCTTTTCTTTCCCCCATCCAGCACAAATACTTAATACATAAACATATCAATAGAAGAAATCAATGAGCTCTAGAAAGGAATCCTGCTTCTCACCTTCCTCTTTTTCCCATTCAACACAGCGGTTGGCAAGCACCTGGAAGGCTGCCCAGGCCATGGTGGCCACCTTCTGCTTCTTGGTTTGTTTCTCACTGGAGCTGGACTCAGTCTGACTGCTCAAGCTACACAGTCGATCCATGAGCTGAACAAGGCCACTGCGCACCAGGCACTTCTCTTCACTCCTGGGCCAGGCAGAAAGGGTTGAATGAAAGAAATATAACTGACTAGCCCTTAGGAACTTCTCACTTAAGATTCAGGTTATCAAAAGGTCATAAAACATGTCAGTATAGTTTCTTGTCCACAATTTAGGATACCAATGTATAACTCAACATAGAAACTTTTTAGAATGAGTATTTTCCTTCATAAATAATGAACTTCAAGTTCTGGTTAGTTCATATAGAACAGCAAAGTAAAAATCGATGGAATCAACACAAGGTTACCATAATAGAAAAAAACTACATATTTTATCATAAGGGGATTCAAAGAATGACTTCATGAATTCTTGACATCTTCAAACTATTAATCAAGTAACTAAGAGAGGAAATAAATGTGCAAAGGCAAAAAATTTTGCTCAGTATATAAGTAATTTCCTAGGGACCTATTTCTTTCCTGCAAACTTCTCCATTTTGACACTGTAATATAATCCCTAATGGGGATCCACATTTGATCATGCAGGAACTCAACAATAAGGAATTTGCACAGTAACTTTAAGTGTCTGTCAGGAGACAAGCTCATTTAATCAGAGTGATAGTGTCCCTGGATAATCAAAACCAAAGAATCCAATTTTTTTAATTAAAAAATATTTCTGTTTAATCAACTACATTGTGGTGTACCTTACTAACAATAAAAAGCATTTTCTTGCTTACCTGGTGTAAGGTATAGTACATAAGAGTCCGATGCTATTCGCACAAGCAATAGGGTAACGGGCGCACAAAGACACAACAGAAGTCATGGTCTCGCCAAAGGCTTCCTGGACCTGCTCGACCATCCCACCACAGGTTAGTTCTTCAATTCTAGGGAACAGAACCAAAGCTCAGACTTCCTCAACCATGTCAAGAACGGCGATAGTGCACACAAGAGCAAGAGAGTTCTTCTGAGAAACCCAAGAGTGTCTAGATGAATCCAGAACTGAAGGAATCTTGGAGATCAGTGTTTCCCAAACTGCAGGATCACGGAAGGCTGTTGGGCAGGATTTCTAATTGTGCCTCAGAGACAATGCCCACACTCAAGAAAAGTCTGGGAGGGCTTCGCTGGTGGCGCAGTGGTTAAGAATCCGCCTGCCAATGCAGGGGACACGGGTTCGACCCCTGGCCCGGGAAGATCCCACATGCCACGGAGCAGCTAAGCCCGTGCGCCACAACTACTGAGCGTGCGCTCTAGAGCCTGTGTGCCACAACTTCTGAAGCCTGTGCGCCTAGAGCCCGTGCTCCACAACAAGAGAAGACACCACAATGAGAAGCCCGCGCACTGCAATGAAGAGTAGCCTCTGCCCGCCACAGCTACAGAAAGCCCGTGTGCAGCAACGAAGACCCAACCAACACAGCCAAAAAAAAGAGAAAAGTCTGGGAAATCCCACGTTAGGTAAAAGTAAGCTGGGTTCCTCACTGCAGGACTACTCAGAACCTTTTAAGGTTAAAGTCTTTCATATCTCTAGGAGCAAGAGAATGGCATCCAACATTTCCCAAACTTATTTAATAATGAAACCATTCATTTGAGGCATGGCTACGAAATTCCGTGCAGCACTGAATACTGTAAATGCAATTGCACTAATGAGAAAACCAAGACACAAGTAGATTAGCGAAGCGTCCTTTGCAAGTTTGTACTCTGATTATGAGCAGAATGTGAGGATCCTGTTAGGAAATAAGACTTTCCCAATGTAAAAACACAATCTGGGATAGAGTCTATGGCAATTAATGTTAGCTGAAAATTGGAACTATCGGATTTATCTACAAAGATATACAACATAATATTTTTTATAATAGTAAAAATAAATAAAAACTAAGGTTTAAAAATAGGAAATTGGCTTAAAAAAGGTCCAGGGATATGATGCAGTGCTATCCGAGCACTAAAAACATTATAGGAGATCACTACGGTTAGACTAAAGACTGAACAAATACACTAAAACATTAATAGGTTTTATTTTAAGACGCTGGATTTACAGGTCATTTTTATTTTATACTTTGGGATTTTCTGCATTTTTTTTTAGATGTCTGACACATGGCATTAATAATGTCATGAGGGAAATGTAATGAAGGAAAAAGGAATAATGCTGCCAGTGTTACAGAGAAACTACTCTGGAAGTAAGCTGTGGCAGTCACTAGTGTTACTCACTACGCCTCTGGGCACCGCTGCGGTTGGGTGGGCATGTGAATAGTCTGGCCAACGAGCCAGAGCTCTGACAAGGGCCCTGAAGGCTTTCGAGATGGTGGTCTCCTCCTCTGTCCTGAGCTCTCTGTGATTACCATGAGCCAAGACAGACCTGCAATGGACGTGAGCAGGAACTAAAATTTTGTTTTTTCCGCAGCAAAGAGCAGCCCCCGCTCCATGAAACTAGAGAAAGCCTATGCGCAGCAATGAAGACCCAACGCAGCCAAAAATAAATAAATAAATTCAAAAAAAAAAAAAAAGAAATTTGATCTAGTAAAAATAGGCACCAAAAATATAGGGATATAAGGTTGTTGACTGCAGCACTATTGTTAATGCAAAAGGAGACCAAAACAGAAAGAAGGAAGAAAGGAAGGGTGGAAGAAAGGAAGGAGAGGGAAAGTGAAAGAGAGAAAGAAACAATAAATGAACCTAGGGCTTCCCTGGTGGCGCAGTGGTTGAGAGTCCACCTGCTGATGCAGGGGACACGGGTTTATGCCCCGGTCCGGGAGGATCCCACATGCCGCGGAGCGGCTGCTCCAGTCAGGGAAGATCCCACATGCCGCAGAGCAGCTGGGCCCATGAGCCATGATTGCTGAACCTGTGCGTCCGGAGCCTGTGCTCCGCAATGGGAGAGGCCACAAGGTGAGAGGCCCGCGTACCACAAAATAAATAAATAAATAAATAAATAAATAAATAAATAAATAAATAAATGAACCTACGTGTCCATCAGTAGTGGATGAGTTAAATAAAACATAACCATCTATACAACGGAGGTCCATGAAGTTCTTAAAAGCTATAATGCAGATCTATACATATTAACATTAAAAGACACAGATATCCAAGATATATTGAGGAAAACAACTGATTACAGTAAGGCCTGTGTAATATAATCTGAATTGAGTTTTTAAAAAATCATACCCATACACATTTAAGCATACAAAGAGAATGAAATAGCTATTACGTATGCGTAGTTCATACAACAAACTCTTAATGAACAGAGTGCAATTTAGGAAGGTAAGGGAAGGAGACTTTTACTTTCTGTTATATGTGCTGAATTTCTGAAATTAAATCCTGTACCAGTTTTTTTAAAGTATATTATTTTATGGGAAAACATTAAAATCTAAGATCTTGCTACAAGAGTAATCTCTGGAATGGCTTTCGCCCATTCCAGGCAGGACAGTATAAACTAACAGAAACAACTGACCTGGGTCCTCCCTGAAGGACCATCGTCACCGGACCCACAAGATGTGTCACTCCCCCGACTCGCACAGCAGCCGTCAGCAATTCCCGCATATGCACCAGCGCCTGCTTGCGAGTGTTTCCCCGCCGCCACCTTGTCTGCGCAGCCAAAAGAAAGCTGCTGCTGGACACCTGAAACGCATGAAAAGGAAGTACACCTGACTCCTGCTGTCACACGACCCCTCGTGCTATCCACCTGTGGTCGGCAAAACGTGACGTACAGCTTGGTCAGGGTTGGTGCCGATGAAAGCAAACAGCTGCCCCAGCAGGACGCTGTAGGTGGGTTTGTCCCTACTGTCCTCGATGGCCAATGACTGCAGGAGCGTGAAGGAGCTGCTGCGATGGCTGGTCACGTGGCGCCGCCTACAGCCAAACAAGAAAGCCGCTCAGGGAGTGTGTTGCAATGACAGCGTTCAGCCGCAGGTGGGAATCCGACCTTGGCCATTAGCTATTTACCTCTGATTTGCTCTAGTAAATTCCAAATCTTCGTTACCAATCATTTCCAGGTCAGAAGGAGCCGACATGCTGCGAAGAAAAACAGGCTGCCGCACAGCATGAGATATCACCTTTGTTTCAGAGGCTGATTTACAAGCTGGAACAGAAAGGAAGGAGAACGTTGACATACCTGCTATCCTATTTGTAAGGATGGCAGCAACAGCGAAAAGTAACAAGGAACCACCGAACTGTCTAAGAGTATCTTTGCTTTCCAGTTCAGCCACCAAACCAGCTAGCACAGCACACAGATGATTTTTAGGCCAATTTTTTTTTTGGGGGGGCGGGGGACATCGTGCCGCACAGCTTGTGGGATCTTAGTTCTCCAACCAGGGACTGAACCCAGGCCTTCAGCAATGAAAGTGCAGAGTCCTAACCACTGGACTGCCAGGGAATTCCCTAGGCCAATTTTTTAAAACCTTGAATACTGAGGTTTAAAACCTCGAATATCAAGGTTAAAAATTACTTTATCTTGAAAAACTAAACTCTTTTTATCAAATTGGGTTTCCAAAGAAAGGCTGAAAAATTCATTTAATTTCGTAAACCATCAGTGTTAACTTTAATATTAAGCATTCCAAAAAGCAAGAGAGGACAGAGAAAGTAATTTCTGGAAGCAAAAAATCTTAATTCAAATAAATCCAGATCCATTTTTTTTTTTTTTTTTTTTTAGATGGCCTTTGTTCCCCCTTTAATGCTGGATTTATTTAGCTGACTTACTGCCATTTGGTGATACCTCTGGTTTGATCATAGTTGATGTGAGTAAATATCACACCTTAGCTAGAATCTGACCAGCCCTTCCTATAAGATATATACTCCTATCAAGGAAATAGTTGTTTTGTAAAAGAACACTTTAATGGAAGCAGACAAAAACTGCATGTGAAGATAGGCTAAGAAAAAAAGATGTTAAGAAAGTTGAGGTCATTTTGAATCTGTCTTAAAAATGGTTAGATAGCTTCAATCTAAAAAACTTATAATTTTTGAAGACATTATCTCTTAGTAAACTACTGGTTCAATATATATATGTATAACTGACTCACTCTGTTATAAAGCAGAAACTAACACACCATTGTAAAGCAATTATACCCCAATAAAGATGTTAAAAAAAAAAAATAAAAAAAAAAACTACTGGTTCATCATCTCTAATGCCAAAAGCCTCTTGGAAAGCACCACCAGGCTTACTGAGTGGGTAAGTCTTTCATGGGACCTTTAATGAACACGGGCTAATGTGGCCAGGGACATGGTGTAGCTGACCATCTTAGCATGTGTTCATACTGCACACCTGGCATGCTTCTCCTGCTGCAGGGGAACCCTATTACTGGGGTCAGAAACCTGGGAGTCATCCTAGACTTCTCTCCCTAGTGAGAGGAGCACTAGGCAATCAGATGGGATGAAAACAAGTTCACTTGCTCCACAGTGTCCATGTCCATTGGGCAATGGGTCTAGACAACATGGAGTCTTTCATTTAAGAACATGTTTATGGGCTTCCCTGGTGGCACAGTGGTTAAGAATCCGCCTGCCAATGCAGGGGACACAGGTTCGAGCCCTGGCCCGGGCAGATCCCACATGCCGCGGAGCAACTAAGCCCGTGCGCCACAACTACTGAAGCCTGCGTGCCGTGCTCCGCAATAAGAGAAGCCACTGCAATGAGAAGCCCACGCACCGCAATGAAGACCCAACGCAGCCAAAAATAAAAATAAATTAAATAAATTAAAAAAAAAAAAAAGAAAAGAACATGTTTATGACTTCTTCTCCCAGGGTAAGAATTAACACTTGCTATTATGGGCTCTGCCCAGTGTGTGGATCTGGCTTAAGTAAGAAGACTCGTTGATTTCCCTGAGAAATGCGTTTTCAAGCTAGCAATTAAAATGTGACCAGGAGGGCTTCCCTGGTGGCGCAGTGGTTAAGAATCTGCCTGCCAATGCAGGGGACACGGGCTCGAGCCCTGGTCCAGGAAGATCCCACATGCCACGGAGCAACTAAGCCCATGCGCCACAACTACTGAGCCTGCACTCCAGAGCCCTTGAGCCACAACTACTGAAGCCTGCATGCCTAGAGCCCATGCTCCGCAACAAGAGAAGCCACCACAATGAGAAGCCCGCACACCACAACGAAGAGTAGCCCTTGCTCGCCGCAACTAGAGAAAGCCCACGCGCAGCAACGAAGATCCAACGCAGCCAAAAAGAAATAAATAAAATAAATTTAAAACAAATGTGACTAGGAAAAAAATTAATAGTGGAAATTCATGCTAGAAGGTTCCACATAATTACTAAAGAGGAAATGCAAACTCAGCTTCAAGTAAAGAGAAAAATATGATGCCTTCCAGGATTCACAATGTTGACTAATTATATGTTACTATGAAAATGACAATCCATAATCTAAAAATGAGGGGCACTGGGATTATAAAAATACATGTTATTGGGCTCCTTAGATGCTTCCCCTCAAAACTAAACAAGGCAGATGACGAGGCACCCCTGATGCTCAGATGACTCACAGAACACCACATGAATTCAATGAAAAGTACTTCTTGGCTGGAAAAAGTAAAAGGCAAAAGTAAAAAGTTGAAATTTCCTTTTTTTCCTTTCTACAAGTACACAAGAGTGATTTTCTCTTCTTTTTCTTTTTTTTTTTAAAGCAGCTGATGTATGTTTTACGAACAGACTAGCACAGACAGCCTTTCAGGGCTGGCTGTCAGCAGTACCCGGTGTTTCTGCGGGGGTCCCTGAGATGCTTCTTGTGAGGCCGGACTGGGCCGCAATGGTGACGTGCAGCAACAGCTCAGCTCGGTTCATTAGACTCTTCACTAACGTCTTCGTTTTAGCCAGTGGGTGCGGGGGTTTCTGAATAAGAGAATTCACTTCTTGTAGGAACTTCTCCCTATAAAGAAAGACTGATGTGCATTTAGTTGCCCTCTGGTTTACCAAAACTAAAGTGTTTCATTACAAAGGATATGAGAAGATAGAGGGGAACCTAAGCAAAAGTAACCTGATAAATATTGCTCGCCTTCCCCCTTCCCCATCTGAGGAGAGCAGTGCTATAAACTGTGGCCAGTTTTAGTTCCTTTTGCCCAGTTTCAAGTGCCTATATGCTAACTTCTGAAGGCTAAAATCAAAGTTTCCAAATACCAAATAAGTTCCAACTCTAAAATATTTAGTTGAATGCACAATATTTTTTTAAATATGTTAAGAGATGAGATCTTTGCATTTTGTTTTGAGCATCAAGGTGATAAATTAGCTTTACACAGTTACTAACATCACTAACCTCAGAGATAGGACCATGTTTTCAAGATCATTTCCATCAAAGGAGACTTCCTTCATTGAACACAAAAGTTCTAGTTCTTTCATTTTGTTCTAAAGAAGGAAAAATCAAGAAAAGATCATATGCAGAATCTGCAAAAACTGAGTTTTACTGTATGTGTTAAAAGGAACAGAAAATTTCAGGGAAAAAACCCAACTTTGGTCCATATTTCTACACCAGAAGCACATTTGTAAGTTACTATTTGATATTTCAATGATTAAAAATGGCAATGACTACTTTCTGGGGATTTCTTCAGTGCTTATAACTCTTTTATTTTTTTTTTAAAGGCTTGAAAGCAGAATTTGATAATGATGATAACTGCTTTATAAAACTATTAATCAATTAAATAACGAGTAACTTATTCTTTGTATCATTGACATGCTAATCTAATCAACCTTATTTAACCCTTTTTAAACAATGGGTATGTTTCAAGGTATGCAACATTTTAAAAATGATGTTATCTCTACACACACAGTACATACCATTGTACTACAAATAGCAATGCCCCAGTGATGAGTCATACAGCTTGCTCACCTCATTAAAATGGTAATCATAGAAGAAAGGCATGTTGTTCTCCAGTTTCCCCTGCGTGGCATCATCAACCTCACTTTGCCATTTCTGTTCCAATTCTGCAACACTCTGACACATTAAAATATAAAACAACGTGAAACTAGATGCAAAATAAAAACAAATGCAATCTGTAAATTCAGAAATTTTAGTCGCAATAATCTTTTTAAAATTCAGATCACTTTTTAAACTTCATTAAATTTCTAGGAAAGAAGTCATCTCCCACAGTTATAAGAGACATCTAAATGTTTTAACTTTCACTTACCTGCAGCTGTCTCTCCATGGCATTGAGTTTCTTAAATGTCTCTCCCATGATTTTACACAATAAATCATATTCCTCAGCATGTTCTTCTTGATACTGGAAATTTATTAGGGACTGCAGTGCATCAACCAAGTTCAAGTGCTTAATGACACATGATACCACCATTTCCTCCATCACGTCTGGCTGGATTACTTCTCTGTGATCACAAGGGAAACGAGTCAGCTATATGACTAGAATTGGTAAGTTCTCAACTTACCAATACTGTATTTTATAGATGGAAGAATGTACGCTTTGATTTAAGTATGTTAAATATTCACCACACCTTCTTTATTACAAGTTGGCAATAATTTGATATATTTACCTGATAAAACTGACATTGGCCGATGAAGCTGAAAATCAAAATTAAACAGACTTCATTTTCTATGATTTGTATATTTTGAGCTGGTGTTATATTAGAGCTGGAATAGGTCTGAGGTTAATAAAAGATCTTTGGCACGATATATCTGCCAATTAATTTTATGCAGTATTATGGCTGGTAGTATTTTGGGCGTATGGATGTTGGGCTGAAAACAATGGTGCTTTGTATTTTTTCATGTTAAATTTCATCTATTCTTTAAATTCTTCTCTCTGAAATGGCCAATCTTGCCTCAGAAGGCAGAGCAGAGGCCTGCAAAACAGACTTAACTTTAAGCTAGAATACCACAAAGACATTGGTAACTGCAAGACCTCACATTCTAGATTAAAGATTATCATCTCTCCAGGCGTTGAAAATAAAGAAATGTCTCTAGATCTTATGGAAACCAAAGTTGATGACTACCTTCAAGTAGAAGGTCAAACCACCTGAGAAAAACCTAGAACTTGTCAAATGTTAGCATGCATCAGAATCATATGGAAAACCTATCAAGACACAGATTACTACTGGGCCCCATCCTTAGAGGTTCTGATTCAGCAGGTGTGAAATGGGGCCCAAGAACTGACAAGTTCTCAGGCGATACTAACGTTGCTGACTGAGAGCCCACGCTTTGAACCCACCGACCTGGAACACCACCTGGGGGTACTCTCCAGAGCACCTGCTTAACATTCATCAAGTACATGTAAAATGAAAGGTTCATCTGCTAGACTACAAGAAGAAACACACCCCCTTTGCTTGTTTAAACATTTTTTCATTGGGAAAATAAAGTGCTGTATAGCAACATACTTTATACTTGGTCTAAATTGAGGTCTGGCACGCCCAGAAATTTCCCTGAGCTTTATCATGATTCCTGGAGGCAGCCTGATCCGGGGCAGGTCAAAGTAGTTTCCAACAGGAGGCACTAGGACGTCAGAGGGGTAAGTGAATTCTCTGTCTTCCTCGATGGTCAGAGGCAGTGGAGACGGGCTTGGAGTAAGGGCAGGGGAGATCACACCATTGGCCTCCACCTGCCACTGGCACCTGAACATAAAGAAGAAGAGATTCTTCACTTCCTCTCCTATCTGGAAAGCTACTTGAAGTTTGCAGATATATCGATATTCAACATTTGAAGGATCACATTATGTATTAAGTATTTATTCATCAAACCTCCTCCAGAGGCTAAAGAAAAATGAGCATTATATGAAACCCCATCTTTGGGACTCTACCTCCTCCCCAACATCTTATTATGAAAACTTTTAAATGTACAGAAAAGTTGGAAGAATTACACAGTTAACACTCATATACCCACAGCCAAGATTCCAGAAGGAACACTTTGCTATGTTTGCTTTATTGTCCATCTTCCCATCCTTTTGGGGATCCGTTAATTTAAGTATACAGTATTTGGGTTGGAGAAAAGCTTACACAGTTCAAGGGTGTAATTTCAAACTTAGTAAAGTAAGGGCCACAAGGCACTTTGATGTAATTTTCATCTTATTTCTTAGACACAGTGATACCCATGGAATTGGCAGGCAGTAGGCACAATCAGCTGGGAAATGTACTAAAAGTAGTTTTCCACATAAAGTCCTTTTTCCTTTGCGAGCAAAACTAGTCCAATTTGAGCCTTTTCTTACCTTTGTAAAAGTTTGGACCGCAGCAGCTCCTGACAGGCTTCTTCTTCTTTGGTAATTTCTGGTCCGTTGTATAGGATTCTTAACATAGAACAAGCTAACACAGACAGACCTAAAGCCAGGTCTACCAGAAAAGGTAAGCCTCCCGACACATCCTCTGAAGACTCCTACAATGCAGACAGGGCAAACCAGACTGGTCAGTTACACGGAGGAGCGCTTCACCTGCGCTGCACCACACTGCACTGTCCCCAACCACAGGGGCTCATGAAGCAGTATCAAGTATCATTGCTATGGGACACAGAGACAGCACCCAACACCATGAGTAGATAGACGGCAGCACTGGAATGACCACAGAGTGAAGTCTCAACACAATTCTGGAGAGAGAAGAGTCAGTAAGACTCCATATTAGAAACAGCATAAATCACATGCAAGATTTTTTGGATAGCCTCCTCTCTGCTGTACCTATCCAGGTATAAATCACTATTTCATTTTGTTACCTCCATTCTGTGCTTGAACGAAGATGCTGTCAATGATTACACTGAATTCATTCAATAAATATTTATTGAGTGCCTACTGTGTACCAGCCATTGTTCTAGGTGCCTGAGGTAAAGCAGAGAACAAAACAAAGATGCCTGCCCTCATGGAGCTTACATTCTAGCAGATAATCCCACTCCAGAGATCCTTGGCTTGGTTAAATTTAAGCAACCGCCAAGTCTGAAATACATTTTAATTTATTTAAATAGATATAATTTATTTAAATAGATTCCTGGGAGGAAAGTAACTGGTACTGTTAAAAGGAGTAGATTAAACCTATATACAGAGTGTAACATGAGCAATTAAGCAGAGACAGATCTAGACTAGCAAGAAGAGCCTTTGGGAACAGAATAAAAATCATCCGATTCTACTACTCTTAAAACCCAGAATCCAAGGGCTCACTTCTACCAGGTGTTCGAGTCTTCCTCACCCTCTGGAAAGATGCTGGAGGCAGACCACCTCTCCAGGCTTTGAAGACGGAGCCCCTAGCAAGGGATTCTTTCTGTGGTGCTGTATTGATTTTAGGTCCCAGCTAGTTTTATTCCATAAAACTACTACTTCTATCAGTGGTCTACTACTGCCAAATGGAAGAGATGGATGAAACAGCAGCTCATATTTTGCCTTGTTTCCAAGGCAAATATGATGTATGTAACCAAGGCACACAGGAAAAAGTACACTATGCCCACAGCAGTGGTTAGATTCAAGTACCTGAGCGCGAACTGTGCAAGCAAAGCCCCACATAGCTTTATCGGGAGTGTTGTGTTCACGGCCACTTCTCATTTCAAAGGAGAAGGTGACTGTATCTCCTTCCACCTTAAAATTTAAGGGGGGAAAATGCACTTTAAAAACAAGACACAATTTTCAAGAGAGCAATGAATTTCAGAGATTTACTTTCAGAAGGACCACAGCAACATTTCACTTCTTTTCTCACTCGCTTTTTGATTCAAATTCCATCCCTGCTCATCTGGACACCAACCTTTCAGCTGTCTCTCCTGACCAGGTAGCTTTGGGAATGAGGCATCTGTGAAATGGCCACGATTGCCCAACAGCAGGATCAGAGTAAAGATCAAATCTTGAACATAATTTCAATAAATTCCTCAGATTTCTACACTTTCTGCCCTCCCCCTCTTCCATTTCACCACCTCACTTATGCCAATAAGGTGGGCAAATAGCCATTAGCTTGAAGAACACAGAGTGATGAAAGACCTTGCTCTGTATTGCTGAATCAATACCATGAGTAAGAAACAAAATGCAGGAAATCAGAGAACAATTAAAAGTATTGTGCTGATCCAGATTTGGACGCATCTGGACTATACCTCTGGAGATAACTTGCTGCCTATGGCTGAATTAAAGAGGGTACATAATATATGTGAGATAAAGGCTCTGGGAGCAGACTCTGGAGAGGTTTTCAGGTTTTAGTGGGCATTTCAGTTCATATTCATATTCTAGGTAGATATGTTATATCTCATCAGTCTGAGAATGGATAGTTATTTTTGCTCCAAAGGCCCCAATTCATTTGAAAACACTGATTCCACATTTTAAAACGGCAATGGCCCTATGGTTCTAGGACACCCATCATAAGGGAGTCTAGAGAATAAGTGAGTGGGAAGAACTAGCAGTCCTTTCAATGGACAGGGAAAGAAATGCTCTGACAACCTCAGCCCATGGAGTAACCTATGGAACAGACAGATACAAGTTCTGGAGCGGATAGGGGTCTGATGCCTTACGAGTGAAAGAAGGGTCATTCTGAACAAAGTAGTGAGTTTACAGGCCTACTGAGGTAGCCCCACCTCAACAAAAGCCCCCATGGCAAATGTCTTCTAGAAATAGAGTTAATACTTGGGCCCACAGGGAATGAAAGTTCATTTTCTTTTCTAGGAAGCAAATGTGCCTGGATACCATACCTTCACCAAGTCTTTCGGCCAACCAGTTCCTAAGACACTACGGCTGCCATATCCCAGTGTGTTGCCTCCATACTCAGCAACCTTCCTACTGTTTGTGTTAGGCCCCGCGTATATCACCAACTTCAAAACAGAAAATATACTGTTAGACTGTAAAAGAAAAACAAAAACAACATCTACAAATAAAAAGGCTGCAAAAAAAGTTTGTATAAAAATACATTTATAACCAGGCACTGGTGTCAGTATAACTAATATTTCCCGATTTTTTATTTTTTTATTTTTTAGGTACAACTGATACTTGTTTAGATGCAACCAGCCATTGGTATTTACAGGGCAGCCACAGAGTAGTATCAAATATTACTGCAATTTAATTGGCTTCGGGACCTCACATTGAAATAGTTATACTCAGCTATTATATGTATTTTTAAAAGTAGCTATTTTAATCCTAAGTAATGACATATAGCCCATTAATAACAGGTATAGTCTGCCCCCGTAAATCCTCCCCAAAATTAATAAAGTGAACAAATACAGATGGCAAGATGGTTATATCTAACATAAAAAATGAAAGTAAAAAAAAAAATTCAATGAATAAGGATTTTAAAAAATGCAACAAATTGAAAATAAGCCATATATTCTTAGAATTTTGCTTAATGGTATAAAAAGAAATGACACAAATTTGGGCCAGAAAGGGGGCTGCTTCTTCTTGGGTCAGTTTTCATGTATCAATATTTTTCTTCAGTAAAAGCTATTCATTTATATACAATTAACCAACTTTCTAATATGGAGGAAAAAACGTTTAGACATCATTTGGCACTCAAATACTTTCATAGGAAGAATAAGCCTCTGGCTTCTGTAAATACCTAATTCTGTCTTGTAATGCACACTCTGAGCTCAGTTTGGATCTAAAAGCTGCACTTTTAGCCCTGGATGCTTAATCATTTTGTGATTTCTTACCCTTCTGCACCTTTGGGGGACACCAGCCAGGGACCACTGGAAAAGTAAGAGTTATTTTTATCCACGTAGTAAGCCTCCACATTTAACACTAACGTCTACAGCAGGTGGAGGTTAGCTTACATCACAAGATGCAAGTTACTGTTTTTTAAAGGAGAAACAAAATGACACCCTCTAAAATGGCAACCTCTTCCATTTCCATTTTAAACAGTCATATTATTTGAATGTAGGAAATGGGGGTAGCTATTGCCAGGAGCTGTGAAGTGGGAAAGACTGATGCCAGGAGATATATTTTTTGAAAGGCCCACTAAAGAATTTTCTAAATTCTCTTGCTTCCAGCTAAGGTGAGAGTTTGAGGGGCAAGTCTTAAACCCCTCCAGACATCTGGGAATCTTCACTACCCTAAAAGATAAGGGGAAAGAGGATTCTATAACTTGCCCAATAATGTGTTTCACCATCTCAGTATATACAGTTAAGAAGTTCCCTATTTTTACCCTAAAACTCTCCCTCGATGGGATTTAAGACCATTTGCCCTTACAGTTCAGAGAAAAAGACAAGATAGCTAACAATCTACAAAAAAAAATCCTGTGTACATAAAACACTATCAGACAATCCTTCAGTTGTTCTTATACGTTACACATCACAATTTCATTAGCCTTTCCTTGTAAGTTCAACACGATGGTTTACAATGCAACAATTAGAGACAGAAGAAAATACTTCAACCCCTAACATGCTTCCTTTTACTTATAATTGTTCAGCCACTGGGTTGGCAACTACACTTCCTCAAAATCTATGTGGGCCCTGAGGTAATGGCAAAGAACAAATAATTTAAATAAATATAAACCAGATCCTAGGCACATCTGAAACCCTTCTAAAAAGCCACCTTCTCCCAAAAGATACATGAGAAGCCCCAAGAATTGGGCAGTAAGAACGGACACCCACATCTACCGGAATTCCAAGCACAGAGGGAAGGCAAGAGTGAAACAGCATGGAAAAGAAAATTTCCTTTGACTTGGATCTACATCTTTGAAAGCTTACAAAAGTCCACTTTCAACACGTCATTAAAACACTGTTCTTAGACTGCAGAGGTGCTGGCTCTGACTCCCCCAGTCACTACCCTTCAAGGCATTATCTTAGGAAGCTCTCCTAAGAGGTATCTGCAGACAGAAATAAGTCAAGAATGGTGACCAGCAGCAAAGAAAAATAAGAAGCATCTAAGAAATCAGCTTATTAGAGGTGAAACCAATACTAAATCAGTTCTTGCTTACTTTGTCATAGTCATATTGTGAAGAGCATCTGCTATCAAATCTAAGGTATAGGCAGCGAGCTCCGGGGATATGGACAGTTTCTTTAAACTTATAGTTGTCTCTGACAGGATGGACTGTTTCCACAGTCTTCCCAGCAGCCCATGGAGCAGGAATCTTTAAACCAGTGAGAAACCCTGGCTCTTCCTTCTCTTCCAGCATTCTAAAACCAGACAAACAGAAAGTGATTGAGCTTAACAGCAAGGAAAGGAAAATGTATACACAATAAAATACAAAAGGTTAAGAAATTTTGCTCTAATTTTCCACAACATACAGTATGACAACACTGTAACCAGAAACATTTTTAACATTCCTATATCGAAGGTTCTTTTTTCTTTCTTAGACAATATATTTGCATTTTCCCCCCTTTTTTCAAGGGGGAATCCCAATTCATATCCAGGAGAAGATATTGCCAACTCTCATTTAAAATTCCTCGGGGTGGGGGGGTGGGGGGGAAAGATACTCTAAAGGACCTTTAAGATTGGCCACTTTCCAAATCCCACAGGAAGTGTCCTGTAAAGTTTCCTTTGTTTATATCTAAATGTCAATTGTTGAAAAACCCATGAGACTGCATGACTACTTTTACTATAATTTTTACTAAAGTGCCTTCAAAGGTCCTCTTCTCTACTGTATTTGAACTCTCAAGGACTTCACAGCCCAAGGCTGTGGAATACAAACTCCTGTATCCTAAACTTAGCTCTTGTGGAATTCTCTTACTCCCTTTCAGCTCTGCGCTATCCAATGTGGGGGCTACTTCGTCAAATGTGGCCATTTAAGTTGAATCTAAATGAAACACAGTGTAAAATTCAGTTTCTTGTTCACATTGGCCACACAGCAAGTGCTCAGTAACAGCACGTGGCCGTGGCCCACAGCATCGAACACCAAAGATACAAATTTTCATCACCGCATAAAGCTCAACTGGACAGCACGCTGTCCTTCCTTTCTGATCAATGTTTTTAAAGACAGCTTTAGTGAGATGTAATTGACATATAATAAATGGCATATATTTAAAGTGTACAATTTGGTAAGTTTGGCCATATGTTACACCTGTGAAGTTTCCTCCATCCTCTTGGTAATCCAGGTGATCACTTCTTTGCTTTATTTCACTAGAAATTACTTTGTATTTTCTAGAGCTTTATATAAATAGAATCATACAGTTTGTACTTCTTAGGTGGCTCTGGCTTCTTTCACTCAGCATAAGTATTCTAAGACTCATCTGTGTTGTTGAAAATATCAGTAGTTCATTCCTTTTTATTGCTGAGTAGGATTCCATTGTATGGATATACCACAGTGTGTTACCCCTTTATTTGTTGATGGACATTTGAGTTGTTTCTTGTTTTGGCCTATTCTAACTAAAGCTGTTAATGAACCTTCACAAAGAATCTGTGCTTTCTTTTCTTTTGTGCACATACCTAGAAGTGGAATAGCTGGGTCATATGGTAGATGTATGTTTACTTTTTAAAAAACTGTCAAACTGTTTGCCAAAGTCAAACATCTCTATTATTTGTATATGAGAACTTTTCAGTTTTGAACTAATCTCTTGATCTGTGGGGGAATTTGTTCTAACCTGTTCCTATAATCTCCAAAGCAATTCTATAATTATCTGTAAAATTTTGCCCCTGAAGTCTCCTTCTTTTCCCAGTTAGAAAAATCATTCTTGTAAAAGGAGTACTAGGCTTTCACCAGAAGAAAACGTGGCAGAGGTTCTTGTAAGGAAGCAGCATCCCTTACCTCTCATCAGGGAACAGCCTGCCCTTCTGGTCTGATGCACCACATGGGGAACAGCCCACCTCAGCAAAAACCGGACACTGGGTTTTGAGCAGCAAAGCCGTCTGAAACACAAAATCATCATGTCCTAAAGTGCTTACTTGTCAGTTATTGGGATGGTACTACAGCCAAACTCAGAATTCTCACTTAAATCATCTTTTTACAATCCTAGCCTGCTCTCTTTCACTAAGAAATGCTTTGCTACTTAGACCACTTAATATTCTTTTATTTAACACTGGAATGGAATATATCATTTATATTAGTTACCAATATCCAGCAAGGGCTCAGGAGACTAAATATAATGAAAGGATCTCAGCTGCATCGTAGACAGCATTTTTACAGCTGACCGGCAATTAATATTTGTTAAAAGATTGCAGTAAGTAATTCAGTCAAACAAATTAAATGTTTTCCTTTAATATTTCAGCTTATTTTTATGACACAATGTTTTTCTTCATTCCACCTTTATTTCGCTTTATTTCCTGCTCCTGAAGAGCAGTTCACTTTGGCATGCCTAGGATCATACCTGACTGGTATAAAGTACCAGCTGCACTAGCTGAGGCATCAGGGCATCGGCCATGGTCAGAGTCTGTAAATTTGGATGCATCAGGGAGGTCAGTAACACAGGAAGAAGGTGACCGAGCATAGTAGCCTTAGTAACTTGTTCCAAGCCTTTTAACCTACGAAAGTTCAAGAAAACACACAGCTTAAGCAGTTCCCAAGCATGTAAAGAAGCTATTATCATTCTTATCTGACAAATTCTCTTAAACTGCACCTCCTTAAACTAGCTAAGCACTTACCTTTACAGCAATTCAGTCTACAAATTTCCCCCCTACCATGAAGGAGAGGGAGAGAACAGAAATCTAGTAATAGATTTCACCTCCGACCTGTGATTTTGCCCCCCAAAAAGTTTACATGGTGCATTTCACAGCACCTTCGAAGCACTTTATAAATGAGTTCTAAAATGCAAACAGCTACTCTAGTTACCACCTGCCAAGTCTCCTTGCCTCTGGGGCTGCAGGTCACAGTGCGGCACTGAGTCTCTGATAAGGAGCCAGTGAATGGCTACAACACTGACTCAGTTGCCCAGAGCAGCGATACCCACTTCTGGCCTAGAGAAACTGGTTCATGTGGGGGACAGAGGCAGGCAGATTTTTAATCTGCCTTTAAAATCACGTTCTTTTCCCCCCCACTGGTTTTATTGATATATAACTGACATCACTATAAATTTAAGGTGTACAATTAATGATTTGATATATGTGTATATTATGAAATGATCACCTGAAATCACACTCTTAATATCCCAACCCTCTGCTAGAAGAATTAAGGTATATGACTCACCCGAAGAAACATGTGTGTTATGTAAATTCTCTAAAACTGCTTAGGGTACTGGGGCTGGAACCAGAAACAACCCCCACGTCTCCCCAGCTCTCAGGCTGTACTTCCTCCCCAGGGCAGATCTGCACCACGTGCCAGCAGTGAACCTTACACGTCCTAACAAGCCCCAGTGCAACACCTTTCTGGATTATATTGTTCTCAGTTCCAACCTGCCCACCTACTCTCTGGGAGTAGGCGAGAAACAGGGACATAGGACAGACAGGGTTACTGGAGGAAAAACACACTGCATGATTGTTTCAGATCAGCATCTCAACACTGAAATCATCAATGAACACAGGATGTAACTCATCTTTGACAACAAACCACAGCAGAAATTTTAATGGGGAGTATGGAGAAAGAGCTTTAATACTAGGAAAGAGAAGTTTACCCTATACATAGATTACTCCTGTATTTTGAGAAATAAAATTACAGTAAAATCTTGAGATATCATGTCAGTGTCATCTTTTGCATAGCAGTTAATTATCTGTATCACTAAGTCACTTCTACCTCCCTAAAGTACTTACCATAAGGGAACTAAGTGCACATAGTGCTGAGTTAGATAATTAAAGGAAAGGCCAATTTGGGAGTGTTGATGGTAGAAGACCCAAGTGACAGAGACGATGGTGTCCACCACACCTTGCTACCCTTAGATCGTGGTTGTCAGCTCAGTCCCACCTAAAAGCACCATTAATTGAAAGTTCAACTGTGTTTGGCTTTGAAACACTTGCCATTTCAATCTATTCTCACAAAGATCCCTCTATATTAATGAACATTTGATGTTCTCTTCTAAAAGATTTCCCTTTCATAAGCAAATTCTTCTTCCTGAATGGCAGCAGGTCACAGTTCACAACCCATTTCCTCACCTCTGCTCCCGGTCAGCTATGTCACTATTTATGAGGGCAGTTGTGACCTGCTGTAGCATTTCCAACACTTCATCACATCCAGTCAGGATTTGGGTGGCAAGAGCCAAAATACTGACCTTTAGCTCCTAGGTAGAAAATATCATAAAATTATTTTTAAGCTTTGTGATGAATATACACTTACAATGACAACATGAAATGATGTATTTAATGATGCATTTCCAAATTAAATAATGAGGTGGCCAGAATAAGCCCAAAGCAGTAAGTTCCGCTAGGATGGCAACTAACAATTTGAGTTGGGAGGCTAAGGTCTGGAGTGCTGACAGAAATACGCAGTATTTCACGGGGAGCACACCGAGTCCCCAGGAGAAAAGGCATTTCTCCCATCCCCTCCAGCACAAGAGAGCTCCCGGTGGCCAGCCCAGAAAATGTCCAGGTGGAAGATTGCCTTGGGTGGTATGAGGATAGCTAAAGAGAAAAACAGAACAGTAAAAGGCGCATGTATAGGCGGTGAATAAAATGAGACAAAAACACAACATTCTGAAACAGTACAAGTGACCTTTTTACTTAATGATTTAAATCATTACACTTGAAAAGAGGCAAGTTAAAAAATTCAACTAAAGTAGCAGGCAGTTACAGGCTATTAAACATTAAAAATAACTATTGGAGAGTTCATGGGAGTACAAATACTAAATAATGTGTTAAGAAACACTAGTTAAGATCATAGAAATGTTTAGTTTACAGTTATTTTCTATTAGGGAAAAAAAATACAACCAAACTAACCCTTTAGGTGAAATCTATATCTTTTATTTTTCCCAGAATTCCTAGATAAGCCAGCCTACTCTGCCTTTACCAAGAGTATTTCCTTCCATGGGTTAATTAAGAATTTATAACATTTAACCTTTCAAACAAAAAACATTGGTTTTCATTGTTGGAATTTTCTGAAGTCTTTTTGGGGTATTATTTAGATATTTTTATCATTAAGAGAAAAGGAATTCTGAACTGACTAGATGAGAAAAATCATGGCTTAAGTCATACTAATCAATCCTATCAGCCTTCACCTACTGACTACATGCTGGCAGCAGCACATCCAGCTACTGCACAGGCCTCAGCTCTAATCCTCACTGCAGCCTCACAAGGGAGATGTTATGGCCCCTTTTTACTGATTAGGAAACTAAGGCAAGGTAAGTTAATAAATAGTGTCAGCAATTTAAATGATTAATTCAGGTATTTCTGCCTGTTTAAAAATTGATTACATAATGAGATAAACCCATAAATATGAACTAGCAGATATGTAAAATCTCTTATTTATATAGTATATATGCATAGAAGGGGTAAGAAAAGGGCAAACTATAGTGGCTTTTATCTTTAACTATGGCTTCCTTAGTTAATTTTTCAGTGTGTTTTAGTCAACATTTTAAGGAAGAATCAAGTTATTGATTTCTCTAATTCTCCCACAAAGATAAAATTCTGAAGAACAATGCAAACAACAGCCTCAAGCATCTGTCAAAATTATAACAACCACGGCTATAAAAAAAAAAAATCTGTGGATTGCTATAAATTGCCATGTGGGAACAAATTATTGAGTTTACACAGAAGCTAACTTAAAAATAATTAGAGAAAATGGAATGAACTATAGGTTCAGAAATTATTCAACATAAGGATTGTGAGAAAATTATCACCTTTTAAAATTATTTGAATCAAGAGAACATAATAAACCAGCCAAAATGTCAAAACTGTTTAAAATGTTATGCTGATTTATTTATCTATATATACATATATACATATACATACAGATATATATATATTTATATATAAAACTTTCAGGTGCGTATGAGATCACCTGTAAGTGCCGTATTTTATAGTTCTTAAAAAGAGATGAAAATAAAGGCACAAAAAGACTGACAGGAGCACGTGGATAACACATTATGAGAGTGTCACAAATATGGTAACCACTGTGCAATGACATAAAAATCTATGAAATGAGCGACCTAATATTACCTTGCACAAAAATATAAGCCACATGGTGAAATCTGACGTCATAATACACAGAAATTTAGCCATTTAAGCTGTGCTTTACACACTGGGTAGAAAGCATCGTTAGAATAAAGCTTGGTGTTTACCTGTACCTTCAATGTCTCTCCCTGCAAGGAGTTGTCACTGTCATCATTCTCATCAGGTTTAATCAAAACAGTGTTACTGAGAAGGTGGTTCTGAACTGCCATCAGATAGCGCAGGCAGGAGGATGCAGCCTTTAATACAAATAAGGGCGTTTAAATGACCTAAACCCTACTGAAAGAAGGGCTCATGTAATCCTCAAGTTTTTTAAAGATTTCGACAAGGGAAGCAAAAGAGAAAGTACAGAAAACAGACCAAGTTAGTTTCTCAGGTGACTTATTTCCACATGGCTTTTGATACATAATTTGACACATTTACCAAAACTTTCTGCCTTCTTCTATATATTTCTCACTAATCACTCCAATACTTGAATTTTTGCCTCTTAATAATTAATTCTTCCTATCCACTCTTCCCCTCACATGCATCTCCATGAGAGAAGATTCTACCCAAACACTTAAAAGAATCTTTTATTTCTTATCAGTCTCTGTAAAACACTGATGGTTTAGAAAACAATGCTAAATTAAAAATTAATAGAAGGGAAATCCCCAGTATTTTAAACACAATGAAAACATCCAAATTCAGTCTAACAATTTATTGCATCAAGACATTTAAGCAGGAGGAATAAAGTCTTCGGAGAAAGTACTTGAAGTGGATTTGTCTGTTTCTACATTTCTAAGACAAGCACAGTCATTCATTGACTTTCATCAATTAAGTCTGTCCTTGCAAAGTATGTGTGTACACACACACTTCAATACAGTAAAATGAAAACAGGGAAACTTGATATAATTTTGCTTTCATTAAACACATTTTTACTTACAGGCACAGTTGAAAGGAGTTTTTGAAAATCATCTTTAGAGACAGTTTGGCACTTGGTGATTAAGATACAGGATTCTCGTACAACAATCTTCAGAATGTAGTGTAAAAGTTCGTCATTTAGTCTTTAAAATGCAGGAAAAATGTAACAATAAGATACTAATGGTTTAATAATAAAAGGATAAAATTTATACAATGGGTACAAGATGACAAATAGAAGATACAAAATTCACTGGTTCTCTAAGTAAACCATCTTACTCAGTGATGATTCTAACAACTAGGTATATTATCTAAATCAAATTTATGGAAACACAATGGTACTTAAGCACCTAGTTCAAGTATTTTATAAATAGCTTGAGAGACACACCTTCTTCCCCTCACCAGCTCAAACCACACCTTCACCCTCTCTCACAGACCCCCTCCACCAAGGGGTCTGTTTGATGACACCCTCCACCAAGATTTCTTAAATAAGCTCCACCTGTTATTTCTGCTAAGAACCCTTCTTCCAGGCTCAAGTTATTTTACTCATTAAACTGAAATGTGCTATTATCATTTCTTAGGGCAACTGTGGGATTTATTATCTTTCAAATGATCCACAGTTTAGACTTAACACACCAATTATCATATAGGATATTATAGGAGACTAAAGTTGATCAAACACATTTAACTGTAAATTAATTACTGAGAAAAACACATAGAAAAGGCTAGCAGTGAATAACATAACATCACATCACCTGTAATGATCATCCTCCTCACTGCCAAATCGGTTGTTTTGAAGCTGTTCAGCTAAATTGGTTAGGATCACATCCCGCAGCTGGGAGAGGCCGCTATTTCTCTCTCCTAACACAGAACAAAGCTCCATAAACTACCTTGATAATTACACTTAGAAAACTGATGTTATTTAAAAAAAGTTTTTAAATGAGCAGACTGTCGACAATCTAGGGGCACCAGGCATATGTACTTACACAAACAACAGCAGCAAAAACTATATCACAACCAGTCAGACTTTCTTTAACCAGTACATCCTGATTTAAGTGTAGTTACTGTCTTGACATTTCAGGAAGTGTGATTTCTAATTCCTCAAACTAATATTGCTTATAAATGCAGGGTGTCTTTAACATGGTGAATTTTGTCATTGTCATTGAGTCTAACTTTAAAAGTTGGATTTTAATGTGTGGGGAAAAAACTGGCTTAGAAATCCCAAGAGATCATTATCTTTAATGTTCATTAAACATCTACAGTGAGGTACATTATGCTACACAGTGGGGAAAGAAAGAGGTTTATAAAGCTTGACAATACATAGAACATGGTTTCTGCTTTCCATCTAGTTTAAGTGTTGGCACATGTGCATTTTAAAAATAACACTGAGATCAAGCCTTGGTAAATTTAAGAACACTGAAATCATATCAAGCATTTTTTCCAGCCACAACACTATGAGGTTAGAAATCAATTACAGGAAAAAAACTGTAGAAAACACAAACACACGAGGCTAAACAATCTGCTACTAAATAACCAAGAGATCACTGAAGAAATCAAGGAGGAAATCAAAAAATACATAGAAACAAATGACAACAAAAACATGACGACCCAAAACTTATGTGATGCAGCAAAAGCAGTCCTAAGAGGGAAGTTTATAAAATAACACTGACTAACAGATATGAAGAAAAAATAAATAAAATTCAGTCATTTCCTTAGGGACAAAAAAGGATGTTTTTTCAAGGGTAATTAAAGGATAATTCTCACCTTCTGTTAAGACCAGCTTAAGTAAGTTATTGATTTCAGTTTCACCTGGGTACAAGATATTTAAACCAGAGCTGAAATGACAGAAAAGTTGAAAAGCTTTTAAACACATTCTAGAAAATCCAAATTCTAAATATTTAAATTTTTATTAAAAGATGCCAGTTTGAGTACAGTTTCACCACTAAGAAAGCAACTGAAACTAAATTCACTGTTGTGATGTAGTCCAATGAACCTCCCTGATAAACAGTATCCCTCTCCTTCTCATATTTGTGAATTACCAAAATGATAACTTATCTGAGGCTAGATGCAGAACTGGTTAAAGAGAATTGAGCTATAAAAAGTCAATGTATGGAAATCCAAAAAAGGGAAGATATGTATACGTATAGCTGATTCACTTTGCTGTACAGCAGAAACTAACACAACATTGTAAAGCAACTATATCCCAATAAAAATTAATTAAAAAAAAAAAGTCAATGTAGTCAAACCAGCTGTACTCAGAATGTGCCAAAAAAATCATTTGGGAAGTCAGTGGCAGAGCAAAGACTAGAATCCAGGTTTATCTGCTGCCAAAGCCTGTTTCTTAACCACCTTGCCACACTTTGACCCAAATGAGAAGAACATCCAGCTGCAAACCACCAAAATATCTATTTAAAGGGATTTTTTTCTGGTCCTGTTTTAAGATCCGAAAGTGAGATGAGGAGTGTATGTACATGGACAGCCTGAGTCCTCTGGGAGTGGGGCCACAAACTTCTCTCCAGTTAAATTATCCTCTACACGTGAGGTCCTGACTGTGGGATGGGGTAAGAGACATCCAGGCAACCAGTCTGAAGGGAAAGTTACAATGCAGTGCAGGAGAAGCCCGCTGCAGAGAGCACTGAGAAAATCAGGTGCTGATTACCTGATGGCAAGGCAGACTTCCTTCTGAATTTCAGGGCAAATTTGATCTTTTGGTGCCATCAACAACTGCCAAAGAAGCAACCCCGACCGTCGAATGATGTCTCGATTCCTTTCAGTTTGTGGGCTGAAGAAAAATTTAAACACCACCTACAGAAACATAAGGGGTATATCTGAAAATGCTAATTCTACTGGGGATAAAATTATCCCTATGAAGAAAGAACACGCTAGTTATTCTTTTTTTTTTTCACGCTAGTTATTCTTATGAATAAATACCCAGGTGGATTTTTAACCACAATCGCTTCTATTGTGTAATGGTATAATTATAGTAAATATTTTACATATATTAATTGCAATGAGCTATCAGTACATATAGCAATACTCCATTAACTGCAGTGCTATGAATATGATGATAATTCTAATTACAGGATTAGAATGTGGTAAGAAGCAAAACAGGAATGTTATTACATTTTTCTTCTGGTAGAAATTAGCTGACTGAAGCCAAGGTTTGTGTTTCTTTTTCTCTATTTTATTTATCTCAAAACACTGTATTTACCTGAAAGACAACGAGAATGCAGCGTATGATACAGGTGTCTCCATTAACCATGGCCTTCTCCATAATGTCACAAATACTGCTAAGATGGTGTGCTTCAATTGGATGCTGCTTGCCCAAGACACTTGTGATTGGAAGATTGGGGTTGGTAGCAAGAAGATTGAGTTGGTGTATGCACATCGCACCAACATGGTGCAATAATTGGTTTATAACCTCATTCGTGGTTATAGCCTCTTCTAGAAGATGAAAAGGAAAGTCAGTGAGGAAAGACATCTCTGGGTGGCCAACAAGGAATATACCTCTGACTTGCAAAAGGTGTATGCACACCAGAAGAGACTATCTTGGCTCCAATCTCCCCCACTACTGCTGGAGAACCCTTTTCCCTGCCACAGAATGCTGGGGTGAAAACACTTGGGAATTTCCATTGTTTTAAAGAGCATAAGTAGTTACCACTTCTTGAGTCCTTTCTATATGCTAGACAATGGGTTGAATGCTTTACATGCTTTACCTTACAATATCATTATCAACTTAGACTATTTTAGCCCTGTTTTGTAGAGGAGTGACTCAAGAATTAGAGAGGTTCAGTAACTCGCCCTAGGTCACACAGCTACTAAATGGTAGAGCTGGGATTTGAATTCAGGCCATCTCAGCTCAGACCCCATGGTGGTAACTATTCTAGAAAAATCTCTTCATCTTCTATGCCTCCTCTCTGGTAAAACCCACCACCCTCTCCAGCCGAGAAATATCTCCTCCCATGGTACCTCAAACATTTTACACATTTTGATCTCATTTAGTTACCACAGCCTAGACAGACATCAGTTCAACCTTGGTTAAAGAGAATTGACAAGCATCCTCTTATATAATAATAAATGCCTCATGATAGTTATAGACATTCAGGGAATGGAGGTGAAAGTAATCTAAACAGGCAAAGTACAGGAAAAAAAGACTACTTTTTTCCTTAAACCAGCTGAAATGAACTGCATAAAAGAAGAAAGTAGGTAACCTTGGAGAGTCAGGCTTGGGTGGGGTAACCTTAGAGCTGCAAAAGGATTGTGGGCACCGTGAGCTATGAGGAAAGGACTCAAGGAAAACCTATCAGAAGGTAAACCTTGCCAAAACTAAACTTTTCAATTGCATATTAACCGTAAGGCCTGGCTGGGTCCCCCTCTCTTTTGTGCCTTTATGAGTCCTTGATCTCACAACAACAGAATTCAGGTTAGTATTGTTCGTCTTCACCAAACACTTTTTGAAAGATGGCTTTGGGATCTACCCAAATAACTGAGGTCTTTAAATTTCATTCTGAGTTAGATGGGAAGCCAGTGGAGGTGTCTGAGCAGAAGAGTGACAGATCTGACTACGTACATTGTAAAAGACTCTGGGTGCTGTGTGGAGGTAAGCCTAAGCAGGGTGGAGGAGGGAGACAGCAGCGGAAATAGGAAGACCAGTGAGGGGGCTACTATGATAATCTGGGTGAAGATGATGGCCTAGACTAGAGTTGTAGCAGCAGAGATAGAGGGAAATGGTTAGACTTGGAATACATCTTGAAGATGGGAGCTGACAGGATTTGCTGATGTCCATTTGGATGTGGGGTATTAGAGAAAGAAAGTCAAAGATAACTGTAATTTTTTGGTCTGAGCATATGAAAGAATAGTGATCCATATACTGGAATATGGAGGACTTGGTAGGTGTAGATTTGTAGTGGGGAGATACAGGGAGTTTGTTTTTGACATGTTAAGTTGAAGATGTTAGATATCCAAGTGGAGACGAATACACAGACTGGAGTTGAGGCAAGAGGCTTGGAGATAATAATTAGGGAGTCACAATATATAAATTTCTTCTTTTTTGCTGTTTTACAAGATACAATTTACACATACCATGAAGTTCACCCATTCTAAGTGTACAAAACAATGTTTTTTAGTAAATTTATACAAATACCAAAATCAAGAGTGAAAGCAGAGAAATTATTACTGATCCTATAAAAATTAAACTAATTATAATACTAGGAGCAACTTTATGCCAACAAATAAGAAAACTTAGGGCTTCCCTGGTGGTGCAGTGGTTGAGAGTCCACCTGCTGATACAGTGGACATGGGTTCGTGCCCTGGTCTGGGAAGATCCCACATGCCGCGGAGCGGCTGGGCCCGTGAGCCATGGCCGCTGAGCCTGCGCGTCCGGAGCCTGTGCTCCGCAACGGGACAGGCCGCGGCAGTGACAGGCCCGTGTACCGCAAAAAAAAAAAAAAAAGAAAAAGAAAAAAAAAGAGAACTTAGATAAAATGCACAAATTTCTAGAAAGATACAACTACCAAGACGAACACAAGAAGAAACAGAAAATCTAATAGATAATTCCAAAGTCTCAAAGTATCACCTCCTCCAAAATATTAATTACTGTGGTAATTAACATATGTCTCTGATGTTTTCCCTTCCAGGAGGTGGAGCTTAATTCCCCTTCCCATGAGTGTGGGCTTAATGTCTTGCTTCTAACAAATTGAATATGGAAGGGGAAGAAGCTTTCTTCACTCTGCAGTGAAGAAAGCTGGCATTTAAACCAAGTGATCAATTTTAATATCACTAGTAATAAGTCATGTTGCTATCATGTACCCTGTGATATGATGTAATGAGAAAAGCACTTCACCTCTGTGGTATTCTTCCCCCAAATCTATAACCTCAGTTGTAAAGGAGGAAACAACAGATGACCCCAAACTGAGGGAAATTCTACAAAATATCTGACTAGTATTCCTTAAAAGTGTCTTCTTCTATTCTTCAGATAGGATAACTCTATCCATCTATATCCAAGTTTGCTGATTATTTCTCCCACCATCTCAAATCTGCTATAGAGCTACTCCAGTGATTTTTTTCTCTTCAGTCATTGAACTTTTCAAATCCAGAATTTCCAACTGGTTGTCTTTTTTTTGTTTTTTAAATAAATTCTGTGTTGAAATTCTCTGTTTAATCATGGTCATCATACTTTTCTTTAATCTTTTAAACATGGTTTCCTTTAGTTCTTTGAATTTACTTCTAAAGGCTGCTTTGGACTCTTCATCTGCTAAGTCTAATATCTGAGTTTTGCCTGCAGTGTTTAGCTACTGATTTCTCCGCTCACTTTGTTTTCTTAAATTCTTATTTCTATTTTCGTTTTTACTTTCTTTCATTTGTTTATTTTTATTATTGTCATTTTTATTTTCAAGCTTGCCTTCCTAGTGGTTACCTCGTCTGAGTCAGAGGTTGTGCTCAAACACCCTGAGCCAGTAATACTTCCACCCTGGATGGAGCCACGTTTTCTGGGGGAAGCACATCAAAGTTTAGGCAGTTTTAAACTATTCTGTGGTTTTAACCTTCTGTGGGCCCTCTCAAATCTCTGTATGTGTATGCAGGCTCATCTTCAGCCAGGCTTGTGTGAACAGCTTGGGCCTTCTCTGGCTTCTTCTATGCAGATGTTTGGGGAGCTTACGAAGGCCCTTTGTAGCTTTCTCACTACCCACATCTCACCAGTAAATTTCTGGCTAGTTTGCTGGTTCGATGCTTGTCCTAACCAGGACCACAACCTCAGGCTAGCTAAGCCACTGGTTGTCTCTGTTTGTTTGCCACCAAGACCACTACTGTTACTGACATTGCTGCTGTGTGTGAGTTTTTTTCCATGCTCTGCTCCAAATCAGTCAGCCCCTTCTGGCAGCCAAGCTGCTGGCTTCCATGATCTGCCCCACCCTGATGGAATTACTGCACTGACCGAGCTTAAGGTAGGGGACAGGAGTGTCCACAGCTAAGACCATCACAGACTTCTACTGTTCTTAGCCAAAGCTCAGTGGGTTTTTTTTTTATGAATACTGCATCTCAATTTGGTATATGCCTTTGGTCAACTTCCAGAGCCTAGAAATAGTTAATTTTTTCTTAGTTGGCATTTTAATTTTATAGAAATAGTTATTTTTGGTAATTCAGTCCATTTTATCATTGCTTTATCAGGAGAGGATTTGCTGAGCTACTCACTACACCATATATACCACTATAGTTGACTTTGAAGTCAAAAGATTTTACGTTAATATTAACTTATATTAAGAATCTTAATATTAAGAAATATAAAAGTCCTTTACCAGATAGTCTATCAAAATTGTAAGTCTGTGTATAAGTAAGTTGTTATTAATGCAAAACATTATAACAGCATATATAATCCCACGCCAAGTACAAATAAAGAACGAACTTCTGTCCCAAAGTTCTGACAATTTCAGAAGGAACATAACAATTTTCCTTTAAAAAAGTCTGTGGACCACCTCAAAAGCTCTATTTATTTACACACTTATTTACTTAATCATAAACCAATCAGATAATAAGAATTCTAGGTTTCTAAATTCAAAGAGGGAAGGCTGTTGACACATTTTGCTGCTTGGGCTATGTTGCCACTTACTAATGCTGCTGTACTCTCTCCTATTTCATGGGGGAAAAATCTCTTCCTGTAGGACTATGAGTGCACCTTACCTTTGGGCTCAGTGATGATATGGCTGACTCCAAGTCTCTGACAGACATAATGGAAGGCCTGATTCCCAGGATTACACCATTGATCGATATAGTCATTCGAGCATGTCCATAGCATGTTGTTCACTGTATCGTAACAGGCACCTGCAAAAAGAACATCCTTTATTCAACTACCATACCATTGACTGCTTGATACATACTTCTCATAAGCAGTGCTAAAGAATGAAAGGGCAAGGATTCTCCCCAGTGCGGGCAAGCCACATCCCACATCCCCCCAGTGCTGGCAAAGCATTAGATTGGGGCTCAGTAGGAAGGCAGGATTCAATGTCTACTCGGCTTAACTCATATGTCAGAATGGAATAAGCCTCATGGAATAGAAAGTTTTTAGTAACTGACTTACATGTGACCTTTTTAACTCCAAAAAGGATTTAAGTGGCTTACAGTAAAACCCAGGTAAAACAGGGCTAATTAACATTAACACACAGTAAAAGCCTTAGTAACTGAGCCCAAAACTTAGATATGAGCTCCCTAGGTGCCAAGGCAAAGAGAAAATCCAATGCGCTAATATAATGCTCATTTTCTAACAATGAGAAGTATACTAATCCCTCAAGGGTAATAAACCTTTTTAATGGCATAAACTTTAAGAAGAATTTGTTATAGACAACATTACACAACCTAATGGACAGTATCTTCAATAGTAATTTATGCAGAGGAATTTCACATATGACAATTTCTTATACTAATCCTCACAATTAAAGAGTAGCATAAAAAAATTCTTTCAAGGAAACTAGAATACCATAGAGAATTAGCAAGAGTTTTTAAGAGAAATTGCTTAAATTTTGAATTTTCCAAGGAAAATAAATGTGGGCATTTATTTCTTACCCAATCCTGGTACAAGAGCACCACGCCCCAATGAGCTTCCAGCAGCATCTATGAGATCGGCACGACTTGTGAATTGACCATCCGAAATATTATACACCAAGCTAGAAGCTAGGACTTCAGAAACAAATATTAAGCTGTTTAATAAGCCTTAAGATGATGGTTAGCTTAAACTTTAGCCTCTTAACAAGACTTTATAAAAATCACATCTTGGGCTTCCCTGGTGTCGCAGTGGTTGGGAGTCCGCCTGCAGATGCAGGGGACGCGGGTTCGTGCCCCGGTCCGGGAGGATCCCACGTGCCGCAGAGCGGCTGCGCCCGTGGGCCATGGCTGCTGGGCCTGCGCGTCCGGAGCCTGCTGTTCCGCAACAGGAGAGGCCACAGCGGTGAGAGGCCCGCCAAAAAAAAAAAATCACATCTTTTTTGGTTGTCTATCGGTGGTAACAACGAGGAGACAAAAGACACACATTAAGACCACAAAAAGAAAACTGTCATAAAGCCCTTTCCAATACGGTGAACCATATGTTTGAAAGTGTTTTTAAAATGGCAACTTTTACATACAGGTTTTTTTCAAGATAGATTGTCAAAAGGGTAATTGCAAACGGGGTTATGATTATTAACATCACAAGGTAACAATATTTACAAGAAATACTTTACATATATTTGGTGCTCAAAACAGGTTAGTGGATGTTTAGCTGCTATCCTTCCAAGCCCTGGCTCTAAAACTTGGAAACCCTTCGGCCTTTTCCCTTAACACAGGGAAGTGTAGTGATGATAAGCATGAGCTTTAGGATTCTGAACTTGAATTCCAGCTCTACCACTTCTGTGTGACCCTGGGAAATTTACTGAACCTCTCAGTTTCCCCATGTGTAAAGTGGAGATAATAAAAGTTACCTACTTTATACAGTTATTGTGAAGATTAAATGAGTTTAACTATATCAAGGATCTGTTTTTTTTTTTTTTCCTGAGGTTTTATCGTGGCTGCTGCTTTCCTCATGGCGGCCAGGACACTCCTCAGCTCCTCTTACTTCCTCTTGGCACAGATGTATGTCCCCACCCTTTTCTGGATGAACTTGAGGGCCTGCTTGCTCTTGGAGACCCTGGCATGCCGCTCCATGGCATGCAGCTCCTAAGGGGCAAAGCCACACACCTTTTGGATCACATCTTGCAGGGCTGTGCCTCAGCTTGCTCATGTTCTTGGTCACCTGGTGGTCCTTGTTGAGGCCCACGGCCATGGGGCAGCAAGAAGCCATGGCGGCTGCTCTTCAATGGCTGCCATGGCAGAAGGGCCTAGCTGCTATTATTGATATAACTTTCTTCCCCGCTTTCCAACAGAAAATTCTAGCACTGTCTCTCAAGTTCCTTTTTCTTATTCCCATCACCCTAGTAATCCAGATTCTCATCACGCCTGACTTGAGCTATAATCTAAACTGTACTCTTTGTTTCTTTTCTATTTTCTATTGTTCTGTCCTGCACACCAACAAAATGGTCTTCTCCAAATCTCTTTTTCATTGTATTTACCATGCATATGCCTTTCCCCTATGTGGCCACTTATATGAATAATAGCCATTTTTCATGACTTAAACTCAAAACTTCATGAAGTCTCTCCCCTCTACCCCACTCAACAATGACCCTTTCTTCCTCTGATTCTGCGGCACTTACATCTGCTCCCCATGGTTCAGGCAGTGATACAGCATTGTATATCATTTTCTAGTTGTTTCACACACCTGCATCGTTTCTCCCAACCAGACTATGAGCTCCTCAAGGCAAGCACCACTTTTCCCACTTACTTGAGTAGCCACCACAGTGATCAATGTGGAACAGGACATAGAAGAAATTTAAGCATTTATTTATTTGTTGGTCTAAAATAGAATCACTGGGTAAGCTATATCCTCATGAAAAAAATGGCACCATGAAGGCCTGTTTTAATCAAATGGGGCTAATTTCAGTTGAGTGGAAAAAACCATGCCAAAAAGACTAAAAAAGAGTTTCAGATGATTAATGGTCAATAAAAAGACAAATAACCCAATTTTAAAATGGACAAAGGATTTGAATAGATATTTCTCCAAAGAACATATATAAATGGCCAATCAGCACAAGAAAAGATGTTCAACATCATTAGTTGTTAGGGAAATGCAAATCAAAACCACAATGAGGGGCTTCCCTGGTGGCGCAGTGGTTGAGAATCTGCCTGCCAATGCAGGGGTCACGGGTTCGAGTCCTGGTCTGGGAGGATCCCACATGCCGCGGAGCAACTAGGCCCGTGAGCCACAATTACGGAGCCTGCGCGTCTGGAGCCTGTGCTCCGCAACAAGAGAGGCCACGACAGTGAAAGACCCGCGCACCGCGATGAAGAGTGGCCCCCGCTCGCCGCAACTAGAAAAAGCCCTCGCGCAGAAACGAAGACCCAACACAGCCAAAAATAAATTAATTAATTAATTAATTTAAAAAAAAAACACAATGAGATACCACTTCATACCCACTATGGAGTACAGCTATTAAAAAAAAAAAACAAACGAAAAACAACAAATGTCAGAGAGGATGTGGAAAAATTGGAGCCGTTGCTAATGAGACTCTAAAACGGTACAGCCGTTCTGGAAAACAGTTTAGCAGTCCCTCCGAAGCTTAAACATACAGGTACCACATGACCCAGAATTCTACTCCTACACATATACCCAAGAGAAATGACAACATGTCTACGCAAAAACTTGTACATGAATGTTCATAGCAGCATTATTCAAAACAGTCAAAAAGCAGAAACAACTCAAATGTCAATGGATTATATTCATACAATCAAGTATGATTTGGCCATAAAAAGAAATGAAGTAATGATTTGTGCTACAACATGGGTGAACCTTGGAAACATTACACTTAAAAAAAAAAAAAAAAAGCCAGTCACAAAAGCACATATATTGTATAATTCCATATATTTGAAAAGTCCAGAATAGGTAAATCCATAGAGTCAGAAAGTAGATTGGTGGACGCCAGGGGCTGGGGAAAGGGGGGGATAAAGGGACTGACTGCTAATGGGTATGGGGTATCTTTTTAGAGTGATGGAAATGTTCTAGAATTAGATTGTGGTGATGGCTGGACAACTCTGAATATATTAAAAACCACTGAACTGTATACTTTAAAGGGGTCAATTTTATGGTATGTAAGTTATAACTCAATAAAGCTGTTTTTTGTTTTTTTGTTTTTAAAGTGAGTAGTAAATTTACATAATTTACCCGAGGGCTAAAGGAGGCATCCTGGTCACATGTTAGAGAAAACAGGCTGTTGAGAAAAAGTCTAACCCATTTGATTCTAAAAGCAAAACAGAAGACTTCCCTGGTGGCGCAGTGGTTAAGACTCTGCGCTCCGAAAGCAGGGGGCCCAGGTTCGAACACTGGTCAGGGAACTAAATGCTGTATGCATGTCGCAACTAAGAATTCGCATGCCACAACTAAGGAGCTGATGAGCTGCAACTCAGAAGCCTGCGAGCCACAACTAAGGAGCCCGCCTGCTGCAACTAAGGACCCCACGTGCCGCAACTAAGAAGCCAGCGAGCCGCAATTAAGGAGCCCACTGGCCACAACTAAGGGTCCTGCTGGCCGCAACTAAGGAGCCAGCCAGCGGCAACTAAGGAGCCTGCAAGCTGCAACTAAGGAGCATGCCTGGTGCAACCAAATAAAGAAAATAAATTTTTAAAAAGTAAAGACAAAAGAGTTTTGGAGTTGTTATGAGTATCTAAATCCCAAACACGCACACTACTTGAAATGGCCTAAAAGTTAAGTTGATACTAGATAAATGGTTTTATTTAAGCTGTTGAGGTTAAATTTATATCTGCAGGTTAAAGTTTGGGTAAGAAATGCTTTTTTAAACATCTAAATGTGAAATATAATCCTTCAATGGAATTATGGGGAGGGGGAAGGGTAAGCTGTGACAAAGCGAGAGAGAGGCATGGACATATATATACTATCAAACATAAAATAGATAGCTTACTGGGAAGCAGCCGCATAGCACAGGGAGATCAGCTCGGTGCTTTGTGACCACCTAGAGGGGTGGGATAGGGAGGGTGGGAGGGAGGGAGATGCAAGAGGGAAGAGATATGGGAACATATGTATATGTATAACTGATTCACTTTGTTATAAAGCAGAAACTAACACACCATTGTAAAGCAATTATACTCCAATAAAGATGTAAAAAAAAAAAAAGCAAATTATTTTTAAAAGACAGAATATGAAATTTTGGGAAATGAAAATAAGTAAACTGATTTTAAAACATTTTAATTTTATGTGCCTAAACAAATTTTAAGGAAAAAAGGAATGTTAAAAAAAAAGGTGTCACCATATATAAAAGGAATATTTGGGGTTTGTTTTTGTTTTTAGAAATACTCTAGCATACTTTATTGCATATGATCACCAAACAATGGTGTGAGATACTATTAGCCTTTTATTTTTTACAGATGGGAAAACTGAGGCTCAGAAGGGTTAAATGATGTCCCTAAGGTAAGAAAGACAGAAAATGGCAATGTAAAAGGAACATTTTTTTGTTCTATATTATTTTCTCTTTTTTTTAACTGATTTATTTTTATTTTTTTAATTTATTTATTTTTTGGCTGACTTGGATCTTTGCTACTGCCCAAGGGCTCTTCTCTGGTTGCGGAGAGCAGGGGCTACTCTTCATTGCAGTGCGAAGGCTTCTCATTGTGGTGTCTTCTCTTGTTATAAAGCATGGGCTCTAGGCATATGGGCTTCAGTAGTTGTGGCACACGGGCTCAGCAGTTGTGGCTCGCAGGCTCTAGAGCGCAGGCTCAGTAGTTGTGGCGCACAGGCTTAGGTGCTCCGTGGCATGTGGGATCTTCCCAGACCAGGGCTTGAACCTGTGTCCCCTACATTGGCAGGCGGACTCTTAACCACTGCACCACCAGGGAAGCCCTATATTATTTTCAATTTAACTATTTGTCCACTCTGAAGCCAAAATCACATTGCTTTAATTACTATAGTATGCCTCCCTCTTTCATAAAAATATATGTACACTTATATCCCCATATCCCCTCCCTCTTGCGTCTCCCTCCCACCCTCCCTATCCCACCCCTCTAGGTGGTCACAAAGCATCGAGCTGATCTCCCTGTGCTATGCGGCGGCATACGTATAGCTGATTCACTTTGTTATACAGCAGAAACTAATACAACATTGTAAAGCAATTATATTCCAATAAAGATGTTAAAAAAAAAGAAATACATAAAAATATATACATGTACACTTAACATTAATGAATTTTTGCATATATTATTTTGTATCATATACTTTTGCGGTACGCGGGCCTCTCACTGTTGTGGCCTCTCCCGTTGCGGAACACAGGCTCCGGATGCGCAGGCTCAGCGGCCATGGCTCACGGGCGCAGCCGCTCCGCGGCACATGGGATCCTCCCAGACCAGGGCACGAACCCGTGTTCCCTGCATTGGCAGGCGGACTCTCAACCGCTGCGCCACCAGGGAAGCCCCATATACATTTTTATGTGTCCTAAAATGGAGGTATTTCATGGACGTATTTTCATAGCTCTCCAGTGGGTAGAGTTCTTGCAGTGTCAGTAAATAAAGTGGCAACAGATTATTTCCTAAAATCTTCCTGACCTCATTATTATTTCTAGTAATTTTACAGGACAATAGTTTTCAGAAGTGTACTATTATACCACCTTCAAAAATTCTATTTTTAATTCCTCCTAGCCTATAACTATACTGATAAGGTTTTTTGCTGTTATCAAAGAGCATCTGTAAACAGAGCAAGTGTAAAATCACTATTAGGAAAAACCTTAAATTTCAAAGTTAGGGACAAATTGGGAAAAGAGACACAAATAAAGTTCACTTACTTTTTAAAGACGACAAACCACTTGTTCCACCAAAAAGAGACCGGGTAGCAGAGCTGCCTGATCCCCCTGGAGGTGGGACCAGCATCACCAAGTATGTACCACAGGTGTAAATGGGCGTCTTCCGAAGCATTTTTAGAGGAAGGCCACAGCTAGTATTCGCTGGTAAAAAGGAATGAAAATGGTGAGCAGAAATAGTTGACACACAGATTAATTTGATTACCAAACCAAATTAGAGTATAAGAAAGGGGCCCCCAATTCTAACAAGAATATACTCAGACTCAAAATATAGAGCAAGAAATAATAAGCTAAGGGCAAAATAATGATCTTCTGTCTCTACAGACTGGTCCCAAGCCTCCTGGTTACATGATCTGAACATTTCTCAAAGGTGTTCCCAGTATTCAATATGTCCTTACGTCTTTTCAAAATCTTTCAATGGACTTGAGGACAGGGGGAGGGGGAAGGGTAAGCTGGGACAAAGTGAGAGAGTGGTATGGACATATATACACCACCAAATGTAAAATCGATAGCTAGTGGGAAGCAGCTGCATAGCACAGGGAGATCAGCTCCGTGCTTTGTGACCACCTAGAGGGGTGGGAGGGAGACGCAAGAGGGAAGAGATATGGGGATATATGTATATGTATGGCTGATTCACTTTGTTACAATGCAGAAACTAACACACCATTGTAGAGCAATTATACTCCAATAAAGATGTTAAAATAAATAAATAAATAAATAACATAAAAATCTTTCAAAAGAATGAACCCTCACATGGACTAAATCTCAAAATAAAAGAAGAATCCTACTGTTTATGTTTCCCCCTAGGAAACTGTGCTCCAGTAGAGATCTTTTCATTTTATATAGAACAAATTATTAACAGGTTTGTGATATTACATTTATTATAAACAGCTCTGAACATGGAATCTACTAGAAATTTCAACCCATAACTAGTTAATAAAAGCTTTCACAATGTCTATCACAAAATAATTTTATGTCCACAGAATTTATAACCCATGATGTATTTTCTTTTTTTTAGGGTCAGTGACATAAACTATCATTAGGAAAATAATTATTGTATCTAATCAAGAGGTATAAAGTGTACTTTAATTTCCCTTACTCACTGGCAGATCTGAAAATGTAGGGTGAATTTAACGATTTTCTATATATTAGTCCAGTGAAGATTGATGATGGCAACAGAAAGTCAGAGTGCTTTACCTAGGAAGCTGTCAAGGTATAAAATATGACTGCCTACATAGACATAAAATTACCTTTAGATGGTTTAGATTAGAAAAATTAGACAAGTGAAACCTAATCTGTCATTTGCTTTGAATGCCTGTGGTTCTAAAAAGCTCCATTTTTTAAAATTCCAAGCCGCCAACAAGTATATTCTTCATAGGACATAAATCCAGTAGCATAAATTTCCATAAGTAAGAAACCCAAAAGGGGCAACGACTGAAAAACTAGCAACTTTGTGAGCATAACCACACAAAGAGCATAACCACACAATCGTGGTTTTCACCAAGATGTTTTTAATATACATACTCTTATTAACATGGTAATAAGTATTAGTTTATCACAGAATTAAAAAATCCTAGACCCTCTGAATGTTGAATTAATTAAAAGTTCACTTACTTTTTAAAGTTCACCTATAACTGGTGAATTTTTATGTAGCAACCTCAGGTTAAATGAATACATAGAGAATGTGCATAAAAGTATGAGTGAAATCACATGTTTAGAGTTACAGATACCAGTTTTCACAGGATTCTAAATATACCCTTGCCTTCTGAGTCCACTTTCTGATAATCACCCATGTTTTCTTATGTAACAAACATTCTTTTAGTATTTCTATTGTGCTGGCTAGTATTCAATTTTCTCCCAAGGGACAAACCCAGATCAAGCCTTCAGCTTGTCAGGAAAATGTTTATTTAGGTAATAGGACTGTCCTCTACAAACTATTTCCTATAATTCAAATTATCCACATACCCAAGTTATAACAACTATTAATAAATTCCCTACTTACATTTGATACAATAGAGACCTGTGGAAGTAAAATACTACCCTTAAATTCTAATATGGACTAATAAGTATTTAAAATTTGATAGTCTCACAATGAATTAATCACAAATATTTTCTCTTCCTAACATTTCAATATATAAAAGGATTAAAGCATAAAACTGCATTAAATTCATTAAACATATATTAATTCAGATTCATTTTTCTATACATGGCTCTTTTTCTAGCCTGATCTTTTACTACAGGTCATGATTTGTTATAAATTCATGTAGCTGGTATGTAATATGAAAACTCCTCAAGAATAATGGTTCTTGACTTTGGGGGGGTCATAAATGACCTTGAACATCTGATAAAAATTATGATGATACATATGTTATTTAAAACTTTGGGAGAGCATATTTATGAACCTCTGAAAGGCTTATCCCCATTAAGAATTCCTGCTTTAAAAGTACAGAACAGTGTGTTTAGAAGGCTACCTTTTATTGAGAAAAGAAGGACAATAAAAATACATAAATTTGTCTTTCTAAATTAATTTAATTTCTCTTTGCATAAAAAAACTCTGCCAGAATAAACAAAAACTAATAAATAGAGCTACCTACAGGGGGTAGGGTGGGGCAAATACTGAATATACCAGGACACGAGAGTAAGATTTCTCTGCATATACCTTTTATATTGTTTTCACTTTCAAACTCTGTAAACATACTATTTTCAAATATTAAAGTGCAAACACTAAATGCCAAATTCCAGAAAAAGCAACCTCTGTTGTGGAAGGTTTGCCTCTCATTTAGTTTTAGAAAAACTAAAAATACTACCATATGACCCAGCAATCCTGCTACTGGGCATATACCCTGAGAAAACCATAATTCAAAACGAGTCATGTACCACAATATTCATTGCAGCCCTATTTACAATAGCCAGGACGTGGAAGCAACCTAAGTGTCCAGCAACAGATGAATGGATAAAGAAGATGTGGCACATATATACAATGGAATATTACTTGGCCATAAAAAGAAATAAAATTGAACTATTTGTAGTGAGGTGGGTGGACCTAGAGTCTGTCATACAGAGTGAAGTAAGTCAGAAAGAGAAAAACAAATACCGTATGCTAACACATATATATGGAGTCAAAAAAAAAAAATGGTTCTGATGAACCTAGGGGCAGGACAGGAATAAAGACACAGATGTAGAGAATGGACTTAAGGACACGGGGGAGGGGGGAAGGGTAAGCTGGGACGAAGTGTGAGAGTGGCATTGACATATATACACTACCAAATGTAAAACAGATAGCTAGTGGGTAGCAGCTGCATAGCACAGGGAGATCAGTTTGGTGCTTTGTGACCACCTAGAGGGGTGGGATAGGGAGGGTGGGAAGGAGATGCAAGAGGGAGGGGATATGGGGATATATGTATACATATAGCTGACTCACTTTGTTACACAGCAGAAACTAACACAACACTGTAAAACAATTATATTCCAATAAAGATGTTTAAAAAAGGAATGTATTTAGTGAAGATGATGCTAAATGTGAGTTTTTTACATTCATGAAGCAGATGCTAAAAGTGAAAACAGTTTATACTAACAGTAATGATAAGGTATTTACCATTAAACAGAGCTGCTTTGAATTATTACAGATTCATGCTAATTCATGTCCATAGCCAACAGTATGTATTAGCTTGGAATAAAAAAAATGAAAAATGACTGGAAGGACATTAAAAATGGTGAACTACGTAAAGCAAAGTGCTTTGCATGGCACACTGTAAATGCTCAATAATAAGTATTGCCTGAATTCCACAGGCAGCATGCACTAGTCACAAGCTGAATGTATCAAGCCATGAAAAGGCATGGAGGAATCTTAAAGGCATATTACTAAGTGAAAGAAGCCAATATGAAAAGGCTACATTCTGTATAAGTCCAATTACATGACATTCTGGAAAAGGCAAAACTATGAAGACAATAAAAAGATCAGTGGTGGCCAGGGCTTGGGGGGTGGGGAGGGATGAACAGGTAGAGCACAGAGGATTTTTAAGGCAATAAAAGCACTGTATATGATGCCATAATAATGCACACATGTCATTATGCATTTGTCCAAACCCACAGAATGTACAAGACCAAGAGTGAACCCTAAGGTGAACTATGGACTCTGGGTGATTATGATGTGTCACGGTAGGTTCATCAGTTGTAACAAACGGACCACTCTGGTGGGGATGTTGATAATAAGGGAGGCTGTGCATGTGTGGGGGCAGGAGGTAGACGAGAAATCTGCACCTTCCTGTACTTTTGCTACGAATCTAAAACTGTTCTAAAAAATAAGGTCTTAAAAATATATATAGCTGAAAAAGCGAAGGGCAGCCTACCTGCCTGGTCCTCTTTCAGGGTGTTGGAGATGGTGGAGCCGGTAAGGGCAGCCAGCGTTGCGGATGGCGAGGCTCGGTAGCGTGAAAGTCTGCTCAGAAGCATCTCATTAATGCTTTTTGCAGACTCACCCTCTTTTCTCATTAGAATTGTGCGTTCCTGAAGCGGGTTGGCTACAAATACACCATTTTCAACCTAATATTTAAAGAAAAAGAGGTCCTTAAATGATATCTGTTTCCATTCATTTAGCAAATTTCTACTTGATAAGTGTACTATTGTCATCTGGTTACTCAAAAACATTTCCCAAAATTGTACCTGAGTAGGTGTATACCTCAAAACCTAACTGCTCTACAGAAACTGAGAACAAAAGGAAGGCTACGAGAAGTTTGAGAGCTTTCATTTTTCATAATAGCCCAGATTTTAAAAGTGATGAGCCAAGTTTAATAGGTTCTATGAAAGGCTGTTGATTAAAATTCCTTATATTGAATTCCACAGGCAGCTCTCACTAATTACAAACTTCTGACAGGTACAAGTAAGATGAGAGGAAAACAAATCAATCAGTTCTTGATTTACCATTAAGTACAACTATGAGGATAATGTCTTCTTGAAATATAATTAGTGGCTAAAATCCAAACTCTGTATTAAACAGCAGTCAACACTAGCCCCAGCTGCTCGGGTATTGGCAGAGCAATCGTGGAGAAAGGCAGACTTTGTCTGCTAAAAATATACACCAGCTTCAACTGGATCCTTGCTGGTACTTGGCAGTTATTCCTCCATCACTTGATTATTCCCCAGCAAAATCTCTGGAGTGGTGATTCCAAAATTCCTTCACCAAATTTTGAGCTTGGCTTTAAGCAGACCACCTGGCTTTCTTTATTGCTAAAAAGATCCAGACCACTTACTGTAAGCTGCTCCCACTCATCTCTCTTCCCACTCAAGAATCTTTGTATCCAGCCTCATTTATTCCTTTCCTCTTTTTTTTTTTTTTTTTTTTTTGCGGTACGCGGACCTCTCACTGTTGTGGCCTCTCCCGTTGCGGAGCACAGGCTCCGGACGCGCAGGCTCAGTGGCCATGGCTCACGGGCCCAGCCGCTCCGCGGCACGTGGGATCTTCCCGGACCGCACGAACCTGTGTCCCATGCGTCGGCAGGCGGACTCTCAACCACTGCACCACCAGGGAAGCCCTATTCCTTTCCTCTTAATCCAGAGGAAGAAGCACCTCACCTCATGTTATTTAAGGAAGAAGAACTCTGCCTCCTCTCTAACTGCTCCCTCAGTTATCTCCCATCTGCCCCTTCACGCTCAAGGTCTCCCTCTCTGATTTCCTGGTGTCAGATATTCACAGGCCTCCGGGATCTTAAACAAAACCTTGGTGGCCCATTGCAATACCATCCCTCTTCTCCACTCCCACTCACTGTCAAATGTCCCAAAGGTATCTCATGCAGCCTCTGTACCCACTGCCCCATCCAGACCCAGGCTCCTGGATCTGGCTGCACTCTCAGAAACAGATGCCACTAGCGAAGGTGGGCAGGACTAGAGATAAGAGAGAACAGGAGTATAAAGCGGCAAGGCTTCCAGAAGCAAATAAAAAAACAAAAAAGAAGTACAAAGTGAAAGGGTGGTAGCAGAGAAGAGGCAAGAGAAAGAGAGCAAATTGAGGAGCACAGCCAGGCGAGGTTCCCAGAAGGGCTGGACCTGGTGGGGGGAGGCTTTTACAAGACATTCACAAATGGTAAGGGAATGAGTTTCTTAGAGAGTTCGAAATGCTGTTTCTATTTCCTCCCCTCTGCTTTTTAACACTTTGCAGCTACTTAACTCAGCTCCCTCTAACAAGTGGACATTCTTGATGGGCCGAGAGTAACCAAGAACCAAAATCAACCTTTTTCTTGACTTCCGTGTAGGTTGTGCCACGGTTGCCAGAACTCTTAAGGTTGTCCTTCCTCAGTCTCGGTGGTAGAACACAATCCCAGTTTGTTTCTTTTTAAGAGAACACTTACCTATGTGTAAGGGACTCTTCTAATGAGCAAAGCCAAGATAGTTCCTGCCCTCCTTGTTCTCCTCTTATTTGCTGGTTCCCATCTCCACTTACCTAAATGGGAGTTTGCTTAGAGTTAGACCCAGCCTCTGGTGTCTAAGACCTCTGCCTGAAACACTCTGTCCCTAGACCCTCCTATGTGTGGCTGGTTCCTTCCCATCATTCGGGTCTCAGGTAAAATGTCACCGCCTCAAAGAGGCCTTCTATGATTACCAATCTAAAGAGGAATCACCTCCACCCACCCACCCACCCCCCACAAGCCAGAGCACATCACCCAGTTTTATCTGCACAGCATTTACCATTCTCTGAAATTATTTTACTCATTAATTCATTGATTGTTTGACCTTCTACCTTCCCTGCCCCAACTGAATATTGGCTCCCCGAGAGCTGGGATCCTGCCTGCCTTGTTCACCATAACAATTCTAGCACTCAGAGGCACGCAGTAAATACTCGAACCTTTGCTGAGTAAACAAATCGGTGCCCTGGCCCAAATCCAATACCAGCTCTCCGAGGTGGCTCCCACGTTTCTATATACAGACCCAGCCTTGCTACTGAGATCTAGTGCCGCTTCTCCAGCTGCCTCCCACTCCCCAGCATTTCAACTGGAGCAGCCTTCTGTCGCCTAAAATTTAACACATCCACATCTTACCACGTCATTTTACACACACACACCCCAGCTAGATTACCCTTTACCAAGTATAGCTCTAGCTATGTTGCACAACTCTAAATATGACCCTTCAAAGGCATCCAGATAAAAATCAATCACTTGGCATTCAAAAGCATTACCCAGGGCTTCCCTGGTGGCGCAGTGCTTGAGAGTCCGCCTGCCGATGCAGGAG